CCGTTGAAAAGGCTCCTGCTTCTGAGGCTGAATTAAAGAGACAAAAGATCGTTAGAAGGGCTGCGCAAGAATTTGAAGATGGCTCTTTCGCCAATTTAGGTATCGGTATGCCAACTTTAGCACCAAATTACTTACCAAAATCCATAAATGTCACTTTACAATCAGAAAACGGTATTTTAGGTTTAGGTCCCTATCCAAACAAGGGCGAAGAAGACCCTGATATGATAAATGCTGGTAAGGAAACCGTTACAGTTGAAGCTGGATCATCCTTATTCGGTTCAGAAGAATCATTTGCAATGATTAGAGGTGGTAAGATCGATTTAACCATTTTAGGTGGTTTGCAAGTATCGGCTAAGGGTGATTTAGCCAACTGGGGTTTACCTGGTCGTGTTAAGGGAATGGGTGGTGCCATGGACTTGGTCTCCAATCCTCAAGCTACTAGAGTTGTTGTGGTCATGGAACATGTCGACAAGAAGGGAAGACCTAAGATCTTAGAGGAATGTGCTTTCCCATTGACTGGTAAAAGATGTGTTTCTAGACTTATTACTGATTTAGCTGTCTTCGACGTCATTGATGAAAAATTGGTCCTTATCGAGTACGATCCATCTTCATCTGTTGAAGAAATTAAGGAAAAGACTGAAGCATCATTCGAAATCTCTCCAAATTTGAAGCCTATTGAAATCGATTTATAGAAGTAAATATCTCCTTAGTAACTATTGAAAAGAAACTATTCTACAGTATAAATCCATTTCTCGTGTAATACAATAATTACCCCGCGTAATTTATTAATGCCCGCGCGGATAAGTTTTTATCCAGAATTAAGTACCATAATAAAAAGCGATGCAAACAACTTCTTCATATAGCTGTGAATCGAAGTAATACATCCTATAACTTCATATCCTTATTCGCTGATCTATTATTCGTCTATCTAGATAAATTTGAAAATAGTTTTATGGCCATTTATTTGATTAGGCATTAATTGTAATTATGTCGGAGCCATTAGACAGTCATAGTCGGAAGAAGAGAAGAGTGAAACAAGCATGCGATTACTGTCGGTCGAAGAAAGCTAAATGTGATGGAAAGGCTCCAGTATGTTCAACATGTGCGGTTAATTCTGAAAGCTGCACTTACACCCAGTCATCAAAACGAAGAGGATTGCCTACTGGTTATACTCATGACTTGGAGAAAAAGGTGTTATTATTTCAAGCATTATTTGCGAGTCTAATGAATGGTAATCATATAGACAACCAAAGTGGCGGCGTTGAGAGTCAGTTATTGAAATTGCTTGCTGATCCTTTGGAATCACGGAACCTCATTAGGAATATAGGTAGTCTTCAGGTATTATGGGACAATAATACTTTATCTGATATGTTTAATCAATTTATAATAGAGAACAATTCTAGTGTCCATGATGCAAAAAATTGTACTACAGGATTAACTTCACTTTCGAATGCACAGCATCAACAACAACAGCAGCAGCAGCAACAAGATACAGATATGAGTCTTGTTTCAAGCTCTACAAACTTCAGCACATTGCTCAATAACCCACTTTTCAACGTCAACAACGGTAAAATGACGCAGGATTATAACCTTGTGAATGATCCATCATACTTTTTGAAAGATGATATATTTCAATTTATATCAGACGAATTGGAAGACACAAAGGACAACTGGGAGCCAGTTGCGTTACAATACCATGGGTTATCGTCTTTAATTTCAGGGTTCACTACTAAATCTATCCAACAGTATAACAACAAACTCCTTTTGAAGCAAAAGAACCCATTCAGAGTTGGATCTATATTTAATGTATCCTCTGCGGCAATAACAGCATCAATAGCAAATACCATAAAATTACCGATGGAAATATTCCAATTTCCGGATAATTTAAGGAAATTGGTGGATTGTTATTTTCAGATATATCATACTTGGCTTCCTATGCTAGATAGATTGTCCATCATGAGACAGATCCATCATTTGCAATTTTTGGGTAACAATACCAATTCGTCATCTTTTCAAGCATCAGATTGTAACTTGATTGCATTATTATGGGCTATAATTGCTCTAGGAAAATCCGGAATGTCAAATAACCCGTCAAATGATACGTCTGCGAATGCACTAACGGAATCTTACGCTAAAAATGCCATTATGGCATTAGAAAATTCATTGACTTCGACAATCGAAACAATTCAAGCAATGTTATTACTAGGGCTTTATTATTATCAACAGGGTGAATGGGATTACTCATGGGTATTGATATCATCATCAACTCGTATGGCCATAGATGTTAGACTTATGACACCAGCAACGTCAAGTAATGATGATAACAACCAAGTTAAAAAAGAAAACGGATCAGAAACTCCACAACAGTCTAGTACCTTAGATAAAATTATTCGTGAAAGGACTTGGTCAACAGCTTATGTTGTGAATACGTTATTGGCTGCTAGAATGGGACGGACTCCATTGATTAGAGCCATGGATTGGCCAGTTCCAACAGTTAATTCCGATGGTTGGGAGGAATGGGAATCTTGGAAATCATATCATACTCCAAATGTGTTAGAGTTAGAAAGTGGAAGATGCTTACTGACTTTCAATCGATTTATTAAGGTAATATCTATTTTGAATTTAGCCATAACATGCACTATAGATACATCAGAAGATACTTTAGCAGACGATCAAAGTGAGAAAGTAGATAGTGATAATAAGGTAGCAAAAGCCTCAACCAGAATAGAGGTGCAAGGCTTAAATAAACATACTCTAGCATATTTCGACAAAATGTTACATGAATGCTTACTTGAACTTCCTGACTACTGCAAAATTGAGCATTTTCAGTCTTTGGAAAAAATTCCTCCAATGGTTACGTTGTTGCACTTAAGTTTCAATTTGACGTGGTGCATTTTGGCCATTAGGCTAAGTGCATTAAAGACTACTGCAAGAGGCGATACAACTAAAGATAAAATCATAAGGTTCCGTGATCAAAAATACACGAAATCAGCTAAATCAATACGAGAATTGGTCAATGTTAACACGATTAAAAACTTGAAGTATTATCCATTCATAGATCATTTTATTTTGATGGGATTCAACTTCTCTAAAATGATGGCATTCGATATTGAAAATAGTGAGAATAACGAAGTATTGAAAAATAATCATATCGAACAATGTCGTAGTTTATTAGTTAATGCTGCTTTAACCTCCACGCCATGCAAAATATCGTGGGATTTGTATAAAATCATGAATGGTATTTCTGATGACTTACTACCCTCTATGTCTCGAGATTCTAACGCAGCTGATATGAGAAGAAAGAGCCATTCTACTGGTCGTACTCCAAAAATACAAGATGAATCACTTGGAATGCCTGCTAGAGCACAATCTCCATATTCAACAATTTTTAACCAAGTTGGAAGTTCCAGCTTTTCACCATTGTCAACAAATACTCAAGGATTGCCGGGGTCCATAAACACCCCTACCACTATGACTTCATCAGATAGTAAAGATTTATCTATTATTGATACTACAGATACTAAAGATGCCAACTTGAACACAATACACGAAGGTTCAAGTATGACCAATGACCATTTATTATTAGAAAAGGCCGCCATGCCTTTTAACACATCACAATTACAAAGTAATGCATATTTTGGTAATTCAAATCCTTTTAGCCCATTATCAGGTGGTGATCATATCAAGACTGAAACTCAAAGTCAACCAAAGTTTGCGTCTAATGTAATACAGGCACCTAGGGATGAATTGGACTTATTCATGTTGGATACTGACTTCTCAAGGAATGATGCGAGATTAGACAAATTTATGAGGAACTTAGGATATATCAATAATACGAACAATGGTGATAATCATAATAATAATTTTGAAGACTTCAAGAGATTAGCAGGAAATTCTAATGAGAAGACGTTCACTCAAGCAGCGGGACTGTCTATGACTTATACGGGTAACGCTTCAAATAAACTTGGCCAAGATGCTGAATTACAAGACTATTTACAAAAAATGATGGAGAAAAATGCATAGCATTGCAGTAGTAAATTTCGAATAAAAGACATTCAATTTTATAATTATTAGTATAAATATATTATATACATTACTTTAACCAAATAAACCCTCCTCCATCGCATTAGGTACCTGCCTATCACCGTAGACGCCTAACCAACTTCTTGGTCTTATCCAATTCTTAACTGGCGATACGTCCAATGCTTCAATAGTTTTATTGGCTAAGTGCTCTCCATCGTAAAAATTATCACCTTCGTAAACATATGAAACAAGAACATTCACCTCAAAATCGGAAGTCAAATCACCAGTATGTAAGTAAGTAATTAAAGAACGTATGTAGCTCGAGTGGTTATGATCACCTTTGCCTAATTGGATTGCGTCAACCTGACCTATATTCAACGTCTCAAGTGACTTATTCAATAAGTCCTCATTTGAATAGAAATCAATTGTTCCTGGAGACAAATTTTCTACTAAACCAGCATCCGATGAGTCTAATATTAAAAATTTCTTCACATTTGCTTCCTTTATAAAAGGAAGAATAACTTCATTTACATATTTCTTTGTAAAACTGGGAATAATTGGTGATCTTTGTTGAATTATTGTTAATTTTAATTCCTTATTGTGATAAACTTCTACAGCAGTAGAAATTCCCATCTTTTGTCCAACATCATTCAGGGTATCTATTGGGGATGCAAAAGGGTATAAATAAGTATCGTTAAGGCTTCCAATTTTATTGAAGTTTAATGTATGGATCAAGAGATCACTAGCCAATTGCGGGATATTACCTATCGAAATAGACGGAATTATTAGCGTTGAATCAGCTAAGTCAGATAATATCACACCAGGCAAAGAATTGAATACTTTAGTATCTTCACTCATTATAGAACTATGCGAGTGTTTTGTTAAATAGTTGGTTTATATATGACTATAAAATGCTTCTCAATATTTTGGCCACTGAGACTATAAATACGCACGCATCTCGTATAATGCAAAATTATCTACCATCCATTATCATTCAAGCTTGCAATATGATTAAGAGCACCAGAAGTATTCGATGTTGTAGAATTTTGTGGAATATTACTTGTGTTTCCAGAGACTATTTCTTTGTTGTAAAATGCTCCGTTGGTTGAATTATTATGGAGATTTGGATTAATGATATTATTATTCGGCGATGATAAACCACCATAATTAACAGTAGAACTATTCAGTGTATTGTTGTTAGATATTGGCCCAGAACTTTGATTTGTATTTAAACTTATAGCGTTTGACAGGGCTATATTATTGTTAATTGGGTTTAATGAACTGTTTTGTTTGTATTCGTTCCGACTAAGTAAGTTACTAGATGCTGGCAGGTTCATGCTATTATTGAATACATTATTCTTATTGGATGACTTTAATAGATGAGAAGGGTTGAGGGTTGTATTGGTATTGGAATTGTTTATAGGTGGGATTAATGATGACGAGTTTGAATTTAAGTTCGTATTGAAATTATTCACAAACAATGAAGCAGTGGAGTTATTCGCTAGCGAAGTAGGTGAAAGGGGAAGCTGGTTCTGAATAGTGTTGAATGAAGGTAATTGCTGATTTTGGTTTTGAATTTGCAGCAACTGCATTTGCGGCGGAACAATAAAATTGTTGTAATTATTGTTTGCATTGGAATTTGATGGACCTATACTATTAGCTGAAGCTCCAATATTTGTTATTAGAGATGATCCCAACGACATATTTGGAAGATGTGTCAAATTATCTATCGACTGGTTATTGCTGTTATTTGGGGTAGCACTTGTATACTCTGTATCTGTATCGTTTAATAAGGGAGATAGTGGAATTAAATTAGTGTTTGCATGCGAATTCAAGCTAGTTTGAGCAGTATTAGGGGTGTTAAACCAACTGTTTAGTGCCATTTTCTGTTGATTTGCTACGGTATTGATAATACCTTTATAGTCACTAATAAAGCGAGAAAAAAACGATTTAATCATCATTGACTTTTCCTTATTGGTGAAGTTTTGGTTGTTAATAATAGTATTGGAAATTAATAAATTAACTTGCTCTCTAAGATCATTCACTACCTCTTTGCCCGATTTATCTTGCGGAGATCCTTGGTCTTCATCATGGACTGAGATAGTATCACTTTTAGTCTTTCTTCTTTTAACATTATGACCCCTAGATACTTTTCTCTTCTTACTCTTTTGTTCCTCCTCAAAGGTACCAAGAATTTTTTCACTATCGCTATTGTGTTTAGACGTGACCGTATCCTTCAACTCATCAATCGACAGGGTTAGATGATTGGTATTGTGTACTTCATTTGGTGAGACCATTTCTGTTGATGGAATAAACGAGCTGAATACGTCCGAAGATGTATTGCTTTTCGAAGAAGTTGTTAATGCTGCTGCCGTAGAATCATCGGATCCCAGTGAAAGGAGTCCAGATTCATCATTTTTATGGTGGTTAAACAAATACGCAAGCTTACTTTGCTGCATTAAACCAAAATTATCTAATTCATGATCATGATTTTCATTCATAACAACCAATGTCCACACATGGTTTCTTATAGAGTAGTTGGCTCGAACCTTGAATGGGCATGAGATTTGGCGTCTAGAGCCTATACTTAATTTCTCTGGTGTCTCTTTGCTTTTATCTGACTTACATCTAAATACAATCTTATTTGCATCTGATCTTGCAATTACAACATGAATCCCTTTCTTTTGCAATAGATAGTTTTGTAACCAAGGTTTTATGTCATCCTTGTTTGTAAATCGTTGTGAATCGAGACCTAGGTCACTTAATGAATGCTGTAGATTAATTGAGACCGTCATACGCAAGATTTATTAAACCATAATTAATACTTGTCTATCAAGCGAAACAGTAGCTATAACTATGTATGAAAAACACTTATAAATATGTATTTTAAGCACTAAGTGATATCACCATTAAATCAATGATTGTTATATAATAATTTTTTTTAGCTCGTTCATATCTGTGACATTAAAGCTCCAGGATAAACTAAAGTTTGTAATTTAAAACCAATTACAGAAAACAGATGGATAGGAAGCGGCCCCAAGCTTATGATAGGCTATCCAAAGGCTATGAGAATCATGCGGTCAATAAACTTCAATCAAATAGAGTTTTGCAGAATAATTCACCAGATATAGGACATACGAATAACAACAGACGATCTTTATACCAGGAAAAGGAAAGAAAGAATATTAAGAAATCATTGAAAATTTTATTAGCATTAGAGGAGAGTGTTGATAGTTCTACCAAGTTGAATCAGTTCCAGAAAGCGCAAATGAACAATATGTTATTATCAGTCCAAAGTTTGGTTCAGTCTTTATCTATACAATACTCTGATGTGGAAATACCTGATCATGCATACCGAAAATTAACTACGTTAGTTGAAAGCGTCGAAAATCTAATTTACAGTATCATAGATGATAATAACACGGACCAAACCAAAATTGGGATTTTCGAAGATAGAATCACAAATTTATCACCGTCAATATCAAGTAGATCGATAGGAGGAAATTACGAAGATGAGTTGATAGAACGAACTAACAATTTCCATATTAACGGGTCATATAGTAGTGCTTATTACGACAATGATATGCTGAAGAAAAGTGATGATGAAGACAGCGAATTTGATGATGAAGAAGTTAGCCATCTTAATGATCGATTCTCTAATGATCCGGCAGACAGATATAGAGAATCGTATAGAACGCCCTCCGGTATACATAATGGAATTAGACCCCCCAGATCATCACAAGTCAATGGTACTGTTAATCCAACGTCTTCATTCATAACCCCTACAAGATCAACGATGCAAAATAATTCTAAAGGGCGTATTGAGCATGGATCACTCAACCCCGGTCAATATGAAAGCATATATAGAAGGTCTCATACTCCATTCAACCGTGGAGGATTCAATGGTAGAATGAAGGATCCAAGTTTGTATGACGGTAAAAAACTGCTGATATCTCAGGACGTGACTGGTTCTTTCAACTAATTTCCCACAAGATATCAAGCTGCACACGAAACGAATCATATCTTCTCATAAATAGAAACTACAATATTAGCATAGAGACTTGCCGTCTTAATAACAATATGAAATTAATGTATATATACAGGATTTATATAACTTATGGTCAATAAAATAAGAATACGGTTAATAATGATGTAAGATTATTGAGAAGTAGAATGTGATGATTTAGGGACATATTAGTAGCAGGCTTACTCTAAGGCAACCTTGGCACCTAAACCTTCCAAAGCAGCCTTGATCTTTTCAGCATCTTCCTTGGCGACGTTCTCCTTCAACACCTTTGGTGCTGCTTCGACGAATTTCTTCGATTCGACTAACGATAATCCTAACAAACCCTTGACTTCCTTAATGATCTTTGGTTTGGACTTAGCATCGAAAGACTCCAACTTAATGGAGAAAATGGTCTTTTCTTCAACTTCTTCTTGGACTTCTTCCTCTACTGGGGCAGCAGGTGCAGCAGCAGGTGCACCACCAGCAGCAGGGAATGAAATGTCTGGGATGTTTAATCTTTCCTTCAATTCAGAGACCAATGCTGAAGTTTCCAACAAGGTCAACGTAGAAATTTGGTCAACGATGGTTGAGATTTTTGGATCAACTGCTTTCTTCTCTTCAACTGGTACGCTCGAGTTGAAACGAACAGCCATTGGAGCAGCTCTCTTGGAAACCAATCTCAAGGTTGGTCTGACACTGTGACGTAATAAAGACATGATATAGATTTGTAAATACTCCTATTGAATAGTTCTTGCTTGCACTTAACTGAAGCCGTTATTACCTTTATGAAAAATTTTGAGTGGAAGCTGGAAAATTAATTGGTAAAATATACACGACGTTTTTATTAGGTAAGCATCTGTGAATTATTCAATCAACATTAAAGACAATAAGAGTGTAGTTGAAATATATTAGGAATACGGAGGAGAATACGGTACTTGGGACACTATGGCTTCATTCAGATTCTGCGCCGAGTGCAATAATATGTTGTATCCAAAAGAGGATAAAGATAATGCTAGACTTTTGTATTCCTGCCGTAATTGTGACTATACAGAGTTGGCCGAGAATCCTAAAGTTTACAGACATGAATTGATAACTAACATTGGGGAAACGGCTGGTGTTGTGCAAGATATTGGTAGCGATCCAACTTTACCTAGATCTTCAAAGGAATGTCCAGATTGTGGTAATAAGGACTGTGTTTTTTTCCAATCTCAACAGAGAAGGAAAGATACATCGATGATCTTGTTCTATGTTTGTTTGGAGTGTAAGAAGGTGTTCAGAGCGTGAAAATCGAAGGGCAGACATTCTTGGAGAAAGAGGAAGGAACGAGACTGTTGTTGGAGACGGATTATTGAATCAATCGGACCATGTACTATAGAATATATACAAGCGTTTTTCTGCGTGGTTGGTGAGGAGTTTAATTCTAGAAATTTGTAATATAACGATAAAGTGACTTTTATTATCATACATAGTACGTACATATATATAGTAAAGTACTTAAGATGGAAAAAAAAAATGAAAATACACGTAACTGCATTAAACGTAAATAATCAAGAAATAAAGACGAACTTGATAGATCGAATAAAGAATATAAAGACTAATCGAATCCTTGTTATAAGGAACATTTGTACCAAGCAAGAAAATTAGAATTCAAGGAAATATTGTCCATAAGGATCCTCACCAACTGTTCCGTAATCTAATTTTTCTTCTGGGTAATGATCGAACAACGAAGAATCACCAACTCCAGCAGTAATAGGGGGTTCATATGGCGTTTCAATGTCCTTAGCTAATAATTTCTCCCATACAACTTCCTGGAACCATGGGTGGTTTCTAATGTCTGATGGTCCATTCATTAAATTCCCCAATCTTCTGGTTAAATCGGCAGTGATCAATTTCGATAATAAGTCAATGACGTCGGGTCCCATGAAGCTTGGAAAATGAATTTTACCAGATAAGATTTTCTCGTATGTTTTCATTGGAGTTGAATCATAAAATGGAGTATAACCAGCTAACATTTCAAAAATAAGAACACCCAAAGACCACCAGTCGACAGATTTATTGTATGGCTTGGTTGTAATAACCTCAGGAGCAATATAATCAGGCGTACCACATAATGTCCAGGTAACAGTGCTGACTTCCTTTGCGAAACCAAAATCAGTAATTTTAATATGCCCGTTTCTATCCAAAAGAATATTTTCAGGTTTCAAATCACGGTAGATAATATCATGGCTATGTAAATATTCAATAGCTAAAGTAACTTCAGCGGCATAAAATTTTGCTACAGGATTTGGGAATCTCTGTGATTTTCTTAACAAGCTGAATAATTCTCCACCTTCAATATAATCCATTACCATGAACAAATTTCTCGAATCTTGGAAAGTACCCCACATCCTAATTAAAAATGGGTGTTCGACCAACTTTAACATTCTCCGCTCGTCGTTTGTGTGTTCGACCTGTTTCATTTTCACCACCTGTTGCTTCTTCAACACCTTTATGGCATAATAACGGCCATTGTGGGCTGAGCGTACCAAATGAACTCTACCAAATGAACCAGTTCCTAAAGTTCTCAATATTCTAAAGTCGTCTAAAGAATATTTGCCCTTAGAAACAGTCGACCGTTCGGGTAACAAAGAACGCTTGATAGCATCATCAACACGTTGTTGTTCTGCAGTCAATTGCTGCCCAGTAGCCATGTTTTGTTGAGGTTGTGTCTGATCCAGGCTGAAGCCTTGTGCTTGACCTGTTAATGGGTTAAGCTGCTGCGGTTGCGATTGTGGAGATTGGTATTGATTGTACTGATCCATTGATTCAATATTACCTAGAGAATTTACCGTTATTTCCGATGTTGTATTGGTTTTGAGATTGTTGTTGCTTTTGCCGATATGGAGTTTTCTCAATATATTGGAAGGTGCCATCAAAATATGAACCAGATGGGACTGATAATCTCTTGAACTAAAATGAAATTGTGCGTTAGAAAGTTCCGATCAACTAACGACAATAACTGAGTAAAATATAAAAACTAGCGCAATCTAATGTCTTGTGCTATTTATTGGTATAGTTTATTCAATTGTACTTCTATGAGATCGTTTAAATTAAAATTATCTCACTTATACTCTTTCTTATGTCGATAAGGGATAGCGAATCTGAATTCTCCCTTTTTTCAATTTTTGGGTTCCCAAGACGAATTGATACGAAAAATTGCCACAATTAAGGAAGATGTTCAAAACTAATTCAATTGGATTGATTATAACTAGATTTATCCTATAAAAAGTCTAATACTATATACCCTTGATTATACCATAAACCATCTTTTGCGTCTTACGAATCTGGTGGTAATCAAAGTTTGGTGCACGCACGCTAAAGCAATATAATGCCCTACAAGGCCCATACTAACTACCTGCAACACCATTTCTAGCCATGTCAACGATTGCATAAATGTTTAAGACTGAAACGAATAACCATATAAATACCACTATTATTGTAGTTAACCAGTTATTATTCATATATTTGTATTTTATCTCTTGTTCAAGAGTTGGCGAATCAGTAGCATCCTGTACTTGATGTACTTCGACCTGCGATGATTCTTGCAATTGGCGATCTGCCGGTAACTCTACCTTCATGATGGATTTCTTGCAAGTGAAGTAGATCAAGGGAGCTGTCAAAGGCGGAAGCAAAATAGAAATGACCACCTGCGAAATGTTTAATGCTTTGTCAAGACCATTTCTACCAATGCAAAGAGATATAATCATACATGGAACGATAGCGATTCCCCTGGTGATCAATCTTCTTAGCCATGGCTTGACGGTCCAATTAATATGCCCCTCACTGACGATTTGGCCGGCAATTGTGCAAACAATCCCTGCACTCTGCCCACTGAATAGTAAAGCTAACATGAAGACAGTTCCAACGACTGGGGCCAAATTTGTAGAAAGTAGGTTGTGAATGGCATATAAGTCAGCATCCATTGCTTCGGGTGTATCATATAAAGTAGATCCTGCTATGATTAAGATAGCCAGATTTACAAATAAAGCAAATGTAAAAAGGGTCACTACCAACTCAACAATCGAGTACTTGAAAGAATATTCAATTGCCTCGTATGACGGCTTGTAGGAATTATAAAAGTATGCTGCCTCCTTGTCTTCTATGAAACGACGTTGCTTTGATTCCGATTTCTCGTTCAAAATAACTTCATCTTCGGCATCAATTAGCTCATCCAATACAACATGCCCATTCTGAACATCATATTCTCGTAATCTTGGCTGCACAATGCCAGAACCTAAGAACAACGAATGAATCATTACGGTTGACCCAATAATAGATGTGGCAATTGTCATTCCGCTACCTTTGAACATTTCCAGTGATGGTAAATAGCCTCGGAATATAGCTCTAACAGTATCCATATCACCAGGAATTTGGGACAACTCAACTGCAAAACATACGACTACTGCTGCGACCAACAATGCCACCGCATACTCAAAAAGCTTAACGAATTTTGTCGATGACGTATCATTTCTGTAGGCCATAAGAACAAACAAGACATCGACTATAGTGATCGCAACTCCTGCTGGTAATGGAATTTTTAAAAGTATATTCAATGCAATCGCAGACCCGATGACCTCCGCAACATCAGTTGCAATAATGGCACATTCTGCTAAAATCCATAACACGATGTTCAATTTCTGGGGTAAATACTCACGACAGCATCTCGCCAAATCATATCCAGTAACAGACCCTAATTTGATACATAAACTTTGTAAAAAAATAGCAATTATGTTTGAAAGGAAGACTATAAATAGTAATGAATATCTGTTGGATGCACCTGCGGTAATACCTGTAGCATAGTTACCGGGATCCATGTAAGCAACAGAGACCATTAGACCGGGACCAATAAAACTGGAATACTTTACTAAAGATGCCTTCATCCCGCACCATATCTGTGCTCTCTTGGACTGTTGATTGGTACTGGCAAAATTATTCGATGTATTAGTACCGATCTTTGATAATCGACGGCTGGTTCTTGTTCGGATTGAAGACAGTTCCATCTCGTTGACCAAATTGTCACCTGTATTATTAGCAGAGTTATTCATCAATTAGTCTATCTCTATCTTTGAAATCTTTGCAGAATAATTAGGAGCTTTCTCTCAGCCTTTTTTAATTCAAAATCCGCGCTCCATTCTTGCATAATGACACAACGTCAAATTGAAGATTGGTTCAGATCAGAGCCATATACCCAGCCATCAGTATGCTGTACATTGTATAAAAAAAAGCTTTAATAAATATATTAGTCTATTTAATGGTTTTCTAAAAAGTCATTGATATTTTTACCATTGGCTTCAATGATCTTGGTAATTTTACTCAATATATCTTCAAAGCTGTTGAACTCTGTATATGGAATGTTTTCTCTGTTACAGTAGGTGATCAAATCCTTACCGTGTTTGGCGAACAATAAATTAGTTTCCTTTGCAGCAGACAAGTCACTAACACCATCACCGCAGTAGAACAACAATGGCATGTTCTGGCTCGAGTATCCATTGCGTTGCAAGTACTCCCTGATAGACTTAGACTTGTCATGACCGAACGAAGATTCTGGATCCTTGTACACAATGTTCCAGGTGTCATCTTCATTAACATTCACTTCGTTACTGATAATCTCAATGTTCTTGATAGCTTCGTCACCAACCAAGTTCTTTAACAAAGCATGGATGATTGGCTTCATACCCGAACTGATCACGATAACTGGGATCTTTCTTTCAAAGCACCATTGGTAAAAATCCTTGAACCCCGGGTCCAATTGGATGTGCTCGAGCAAATAGTCAATACATTCAGGAAATGGCGTTGGAATCGACTTCAACATTTCGGTGAATCCGTCTTGGAACGACATCCTCTCATTCAATATTTCGTCGTTGATTTCAAGTCTTCTTGGCTTACCGAACCCAAGGTTTTCTGTTAAATAATCATTTGAATCCTGGAGGGTAACAGTACCGTCCCAATCGGTGAATACAATAGCTGGTGGTCCACTCATTTTTGATTTTTATTTCTAAGATTTTCGGTATATACGTCCTGCGTTGTATATGGTGTTGAATATGTAGTCAATACCCTTTCAATCGTCTAATTGCACGATTATCTCTCGTATGACAAATCTTCGATAACGTGGTACAAGGGTTAGAATCCACTCTAGACCCGACTTTTTTCATTTTACGACATTGTCCCGATTTGACGACATAAAAGGAATCCCGTCGATAGCAAACCAAAATGTCGTCCCCTATAACACTGCGATGAGTTTATAGATTTAATATTAACCGGAACTATCGCTTTACTCTTATCAAAAAGGCATTCAGGTTAGAAAAAACGGCTAAAAAACATAGGTCGTATCCATATCTAGATAGCACACGGATTAGATTGAACAAAATCGGAATAAAGGTGTCATAGATAGATATCATAAAGTTACAGTGTAAAAGGGAAAATCGGAGATAATAGGAGCTTATAATAAAAATGTTTGAAAACTTGAAAGCATTTATTAGACATGGTAAACATGCTAACGATTTTAAGGGTAAATACCCAACCATCAGTAACCCTAGTTTTGAGACTACGGGTAATGATTATCAGGAAATGTTTGACGATAGTATGGGATATGAATCACTGGCTACACATATGGATATAGACGACGATGTAATAAGCTCTAAAAGAGCGGCTAAGACGGAAAGTTCTGGTACAGACAAAGGTGAAATGGATGAAATACAAGAGATACGGGACAGCAAGTCGGATGGTAGCGGAAGGGCTAAGACCAAAAACAATAATAACTACGAGGCTGCTACGCATATTGTAGAGCAGGAAAATAGGCAGAAGAAACACAAGGTTGAGTATCCAAACTTGCAAAATTATGAAGTTTTAGAACAGATGGGAGAAGGTGCGTTCTCCATTGTGTATAAGGCTAGACATTTAGCTTCGAATAAGTTAGTTGCAATCAAGATATTGAGAAAATTTCAAATGGACCAGGCTCAAAAACAAGCGGTTTTAAAGGAAGTTACAATAATGCGTCAATTGAACCATCCTAATATTGTTAGATTTATTGAATTCATCGACTCTTCGGACTATTATTATATAGTCCAAGAGTTAGCGGTTGGGGGAGAAATTTTCACGGCTATTGTAAACTATACCTACTTTTCCGAAGATTTAGCTCGCCATGCCATAGTACAGGTGGCTCACGCTATTAGATATTTGCATGAGGAAGTTGGAATAGTCCATAGAGATATAAAGCCAGAAAATTTGTTGTACATGCCGATTGAATTTAGACCTTCGATTAACCCGATAGCAAAATTAAGAAAGTCGGATGATCCAAACTCAAAGCGTGACGAAGGGGACTTTATTCCAGGAATTGGCGGTGGTGGTATCGGGGTCGTGAAAATTGCAGATTTTGGGTTGTCGAAACAAATCTGGGAACACAATACGAAAACTCCTTGTGGTACTGTTGGTTACACGGCGCCTGAGATCGTGAGAGATGAACGCTACTCGAAAGAGGTTGATATGTGGGCTATTGGATGTGTCTTGTATACCTTATTATGTGGGTTTCCTCCATTTTATGATGAAAGAATCGAAACATTAACCGAGAAAGTTGCTAAGGGTGAATACACATTCTTGAGTCCTTGGTGGGATGAAATATCCATGGAAGCCAAGAACTGTGTATCGAGGTTATTAACGGTCGATCCTCTGAGAAGATATAGTATAGACGACTTTTTGAACGATCCATGGATCTTGAAACTGCCAGTTGTTGATCCTGCTACCACTTCTTCAAGAAAGATTCAAAGTAATAGTAATTACAAATATGACCATCCAATCCAAGCCAAGAACAACAATGGTCCTATGTATGCTAATGATGAAATTTACACACCGGCGGCCGTCGCTTTGAGAGATGCCTTCGATATATCTACTGCTGTCCATAGAATGGGCGAAGAGGCTGCATTGTCGAAAGGTGTTCCGGATATTGATGATTTAATGGAGGAAAGCGAAGAAGAAACAACTGATAAAGACGGTCGCGTCTTGAATCAGGAGCATCACAATAGTCGTGCTCCAAGATATAGCCAGCACCAACAACAAAAGCGTCATGTTAAACAACAATCTAGTCCGTTTGACTTGAATTTGGGAGGTGCATCTATATTAGAAAGAAGAAAGAATAAACCTGTATCTGTGAAATAAAATCATTTAGTGACCTTTCTTACAGCTTGGCTCTATTGAACTTTAATTTTCTTGATTCAATTTAGCCTATTTTATTACTTATGGGTAGGCTGATATAGCATAATAATTAGATCTAATTTCTGTACTCATAAATTATTTATTTTTTTAGTTTATTTGAGTTAATTTAGTTGGGCTTATTGTATATAATTTAGCTAGATATATATTCAAAGTTTTTACTGATTTTTTAACCATGTCTGTTAATAGACTTTTCAATTCCTTTGATATGATAATTCTTGGTCCAATAGCGATTTTTGGCACCCATATATGTAGTGACAAAAATGCTGTGTAAACATGCAGTCGCATATAATGAGCCTTCACAAATATCTTCCTAAAAGCTATATTTTGCCATTATTTCAAATAGAATTTAAGGCCTTTCTAATAAACTAGTTGGTTTATACAAGCCATACAGAAAATGTCTGGTTTGATTTCAGATCCACTGTCGGGGTTACATCCTGATTACGATGAGTCGCTGATTATTCATTTTGATCCTGAATATCTAATCACATTTGCAAATCACAAATCACAAGATTATTTGACAAAGGAACAGAATAGACACAAAAAAAGGAAGAAAACCTATCACAGGGACATAGGCGTTTATGAATTAGAAAATGGAGCTTTGGATAACGGGAATTTAAAACAGACAGACGAAGATCATTCTCAAATGAAAAATCGGGATGAATCAGAGTGGATAGAGATAACTAATAGAAATATAAATTTCGAGTGTGATTCCCCTATTGATTTGAGCGTGATATCTTACGGGTCTACAGGGTTTAGAGAGATTGAATCAAGTGTCTACGAATTCGCAACCGAAGATATCAAATTGAACTTCGAGATGGACGAACCGTTACTTGGGATTAAAAATAAGAATATGGCTAAACTAAAGTCCAAATTATTGTTGTCCATAAATATAAAAAATAATTCGGAAAAGAATACTCCAAGCCTTCTAGAATTATTGAGAAATGAAGTTGCTATTCTTAATCTTCCATCATCAAGAATAAATTCAGATAGTTTACAATTTTCTGGCCCCGGTATTAAATTGGTTTTTGATGCTAACAGAAATAAAATAAATGCTAGTGTTTTTTATGCTATATATCTGAAAGGAGATATAAGTGGTCAGTTCCCTGTGGACATAATTAATAAAATTGCAGCATTAATTTCAATGACTTCCTCTGCATTGCCTACTCTGGATGACTTGTCAAGTACGGCTGATAATAATCTCCATGAACCCACGACTCCTCAACTATTTTATAAATCTATATCAGAAAATACAGCAACAATTCCACTGATAGAAAGACCCTTTGATATTCCGGAACTAGACACTAATTTATTAAGGTTTCAAAGAAGAACTGTAAATTGGTTGATTGAAAAAGAAGGAATGAGATACGATTGGAATACTAACAGGTGTGTGAAGTCTTCAATAATAGATCTGGATCTAGTGACTTTGTTAACTGATTATTTTGGTGATCAAAATATTGACTTTGAAGAACTAGATAACAAGGTAAGCGTTTTCTTGAACAAATTATGCTTCGGATGGAATAGAATACTTCATCACGATAGTGTGTTTTGGTTTAACAAATATACTGGCAACTTAAACTCAAGGCACCATACATATAAGTTTGTTCTTGATTATTACAGAGATTTAGATAATAGAAAATCTGAAAGTGTCTTACCGGCTCAAGGTTTGTTGGCGGAAGAGATGGGGTTGGGAAAAACAGTAGAGATTACCACGTTAGTTTTGATGAACCAAAGGCCAATAGATACAGTAAATGAACCAATACAGATCCAACTTCAATCGTTTGGAGATATGAAGACTGTAATAAAAGCCAAAACCACATTAATCATTGCACCTGATTCTATTCTAAAACAATGGAATGAAGAGATTGTTCATTTGGCTCCATCGTTAGCTGTGACGATATATAATGGAATTGATAAATATCCAAAACTAGATAATAATGCAGGCTTGATTGCTGAGTATTTAAGACGATTTGATGTTGTTTTTACGACATATTCCACGATTTCAAAAGAATTAGACTATGCTTTATATTCTTCTAGGAATAAACCTACTCGGAATTCTTCCAAACGAAAAGCTTCGTACTTTGATAACGGCGATATAGGGAACGATAACATATCCGAAGGTAATGAATCAACTAAGGAAGCGACTGATAACACGATGGATAGAGAGGCGTTACTTAAGGATTATAAAGCTATGTTCCAGTTATCGTTGCAATCACAGAAACCAAAGATAGCAAATGAAAAATCGTCTGAAAGTCAACATGAAACGGATTATGAAAAGGCATTACAAGATGAACTTCATTTAGCCATGAAACATAATAGGATTGCAGATATTTATAATAGTCACGAATATCAATCACCCTTGATGTTGACACACTTTTGGAGGGTAGTTTTGGATGAAGTTCAGATGGTTTCATCGAGGCTTTCAAGGGCATTTCAAAGTGCAGCATTAATCCCGAGATTTCATGCATGGGGTGTTTCTGGTACACCAATAAAGAAAGACTTCAGTGATTTACATTCAATTTTAAGATTCTTGAAATTCCAGCCGTTTTCAGGAGCTTTATCCAAAAACAGTTGGGCTACATTAACAACAGTGGATGGAAGTAATACTAATAAAGACTTTATTAAGCTATGGAATCAAATTAGTCTAAGACATACTAAGGCAATGGTTCACGACGATATTAAATTGCCACCTCAAAGTAGAGTGTTGATGACTATTCCATTCACTCCCGTTGAACAAGAGAATTATAATCAGATGTTTGAAGAATGTTTGGCAGCAATATGTCTCGACAGTAATGGTAATCCTGTGTTAAGTGATTGGGAGCCATCTTCAACTGTATTGACCTATATGAGGTATTGGTTGGTTAGTTTACGTCAAGTATGTTGCAATCCTCAAATAGGGAAATTGAATCTTAATTCTAAAAAGTATAAGTCTAAGAATTACAATAGCCGGGTAGTAACTACAGCTCTGCAATTGAAGACATTAGAGAATGTGCTTGATGATATGTTAATAAAAGCATCTGATCAAATTAGTACTGCCGAAAGTTTAATTATTCAAATTTTTATCGATGCTGCACAATTTCAAGAGTACATTTTGTTGCCAGAGAATGCATTAGATTTTCTTCAGATTGGATTGCTTGGAACAAAACATATTTTATATCGTTTAAAGTTGATACTTGCAAAATACATCAAAGAATATGCGGATTATAGAATGCGCTTTAACTTGAAGCCGATCAATATGGACGAAGATATCGAGGGCGATGATGATGATATTGATATAAACGATAGCTATACTTCTTCAATGGATGGAATACGGGACACATTGATTAAATATCAGGACAAGATACGGACAACCAGGCTTAAGATCAGATTATCCAAAGTAGCGTTGCATAAGTTTTATTTCTTGATTGCCTCTTGTAATTTCCAATGCTATGATGAGGAATATCGAGAAAAGATCAATAAATTGAAGCTAAGTCATATGCCTCTGTCCGACGCTTTGAATATTTTTGAAAAAGAAAATAAAAATACGAAGGAGATATCTACCCTCATAAGTGGAATGCCAATTGAAATGTTTGATATTGAAAAAGGAGATGAGTTTGATGGATTCTCACCAGATCCAAATTTACGGGATAATGAGTTGCAGATCGCAAAGCACAAGTTCTTGGAACTGAAATATTATGACCTTGCGGAACAAACTAGACAAGATATATTAAAGGGATCAATTGATTCCGTCAGTAAAACCGTGGATGCTAAAATTACTTCACGGGTATGGTATAATAAAAGTGATTCAAAATTTGTTGACACTGGAGTATCGTTATTGCCAAAGACGTCAAAGAAATTCTTCAATGTTTTACCAATCATTGAGATTGAATCATTGAAGAGCTATATTATCGGAATGAAGTCAAAGTTCTATTTTGAAAAGTTTGAAAAATTATCAACTCAGTTGAACGTTCAATGTGAAGTTATTAATAATTGGATGAATGAATTAATCAGAATATTATGTAAACCTTTGTTGAGTCATGATAAAACACCGGATGGTGAGGAATATGAGGGATCTATTGAAGATCAAGATAAGGCATCATGTTATTTGAATGTAATATCAGAGATTTTAATAGATCGTAATGAATTTATCGTGGGTGATGAAAACTCCATTAAGATGAATATTTTAAAAATAAATCAAGTTCCTAATGAATCACATTCTGAGGCCAATAAAATAAACAGTACAATATTCTTAAAAGAACTCGAAGAAACACGAAGAAATGTCAAGCCGATAGGTAAGAGCTCATTACAAGAGCTTGTTTTCAACATAAAAGATATTGAGGGGGAACTAAAGGATGAGGTGTTTTTGGACGAAGGGTCTAAACAAGTTGAATACGACTTGTTCAAGAAAATAAGTGAAAGAGTTAGAACTATATTTGCGAACCAGAAGCTAGCACAAGTTTTGTTCCAAAAGGAATTGAATTTGAGTTGTAACTCGGTGTTCAATAGTCGTATTGAATATTTCAAGCAGTTGCAACAAATTTCGGATAGTGTTCAACCAAGAAGGTTTGATTTCCTGCAAGAAGATTTGTCCTATGATATTGTAATAGGAGAGCAAGAGAAACGATTGTTGGACTATATCGAGATTAATTCATCCATGGGTAAAGCAATTTCTAAATTTAGATATTTGCAAACGTTAATCAAGAAGGATGATAATTTACAAAAGGCGCACTCTAATGAAGAAAAAGAAGAGCTCATGTGTATCATTTGCAGATCAACTATTACAATCGGATCGTTGACCCAATGTGGTCATAAGTATTGTAAAGAATGTTTAGAGCTTTGGCTAAGGAATCAAAAAACTTGTCCAATGTGTAAACATGCGATAAATATATCAACCGTCTACAATTTCACTCACCATAAGCCAAATTTAAAAGCAAATGCTGTGGATAATATAGGAAACCATAAAGTTGATGATAATCTACATTCCATTTATAAACCTATTGATGACGTTATAATTGATGATATTCAGCATATGCCCTTAAAAAATTCGTACAGTTCTAAGGTTGATATGATTGTAAAACAGGTGTTATATTTAAGAAATAAAGACCCTATGGTTCAAATCGTTATCTTCAGTCAGTGGCAGGACCTCTTATATATACTTGGAACGGCTTTTAAGTCTGCAAATATTTCATTCTTAGGATCACATGGTACTTTGACTCCAGAGGTTGGAGCAGGCCGTCGCCGTAACAAGTATGATAGTGTTGAAGAATTCAAGGACCCACAAAACGAAATAACTTGCTTCTTATTAAATGCCAAGGCACAAGCGAGTGGTTTGACATTAGTCAATGCAACTCATATATTCTTGTGTGAACCATTAGTAAACACCTCTCTAGAGTTACAAGCTATCTCGAGAATTCACAGAATTGGCCAAACAAGACACACCACTGTGTGGATGTTTGCAATCGAGAATACAGTAGAAGAGAGTATCGTATTAATGTCTACTAACAAGAGATTGCAGTATTTCGAGACAGAGACAACACCGACAGCAAACCAAGACGGTGCATCGAAGGTGATATCCAAATCTAAGGAGAAAAATTTAAGTAAGGCAGAATCAATGACTTTGATGAAAAGTGGTGGAATAGATACTTTGGTCAACAAAGGTAATGGAGAGGGTGAATCAGTGACTAATGGAGACTTATGGAATGCGTTCTTTTGTGCCCGATCTAATAATACAAGGATTCTGGGGCTAAATGAAGTAAAAAATTAATCGACAGCCTACATAATGAATTATATCTGTATATATGTTTAATTATAAGTATTATTTTACATTATTATTTCTCAGAAGCGTAATTAGGACATGAACTACTTAGATTGCAATAAACTCATGATGTCCATCAAACGGCCAAATAAGCACTATCATCATATCCAGAATAAATCTTGCCGTTATCGATTAATTCAGAACACTGTTCCAACACAAGGTCGTCTGTCACATTCAATTTTTGAGAAATGAAAGGCACAGGGACACCTTCTTGCATACTGCTGGTGTTATCACGAATGACTGTCAAGATCTTGTCTTGAATTGAAGTGCCAACGTCCATGCCATGTGGATCCTTAACAAAAAGGCCATTATCTTGAGACTGATTTTGTTCGCCATTAGCTCTGGCAGATAATCCTTGTGCTTTTAAGTGGTGTGAAATAGCACTTAAGTGGTGATACAAAATTTCATTATGATCAGTAATTGGTCTCATGGTGGCATGCTGTAAGTTTTTCTTTCCATTAAATTCCTTCAAAGCACCTGTGACATAAATATACTTGTTCATCTCGTATTTCTCCTGTTCATTTTCATCCATTGCATTCGAATCATCTATCCATTTACGTACTTCAATCGACCCAGTACCATCTTCAATTGTAATAAGAATGGCAGAAGTTATGTCCTGCACGTTTCTAACAACTCCAACAAACGAAACCAAGTTTAAGTTAACATTATGGACTTGAAATTCTCCGTCTGGTATTGGTTGTGTAGCTTCTGTAATCTGTTTAATCGTCACTGGCGTTAAGCTTGAACGCAACTGCTGCTTCTGCGATCCATTATTTTCATTTTGGAATCCGCCATTTCCAATATCTGTATTGAATCCTCCGTCGCCGTAGTTGTTATAATTTCCTCCAAAATCTGACATTTTCCTATTGGTTTCTTATATTATATAAGTCTTTTTAGCTTCTAGTATATTTAAACAAACGCGTGTAGGGCGATTAAACCATAATTTTTGTGTAACTTGCCACCCTACTTATTATTTTGCTAGAGTCAACAGTTCTTCAAACTTGGTTTGGTCCATGACTGTCATCATATGGTGTCAATAGACTTGGAAAAGAATGATGATGGGATTTTGAAGTGAATATTTTGTATAATTTTAATATTTGAAAATTTCATTTAGTTTACCTCTGTATATGGTCTTGGACTCATTCTACGGACAACAACTACATGTAGGGTGACCCTAGTTGGTATTAGAACGAGATATCCAGTAGAATATAAAAACGTAGTAAGTAGGTGATGTAAGTTTTAGTTTTCTACGAGTAATCACTTAAAAGTTTTTACCTATAATGTTGCAGCCAAACTCAAATCGCAAAATAGAGAAGTTTTCAAGTTATCTACTTGGAGTTCTTTTGTAATTCATATATTTCTTTAACTGGCTCAATTATGTTATCTAATTATAAAGAATCTACAGTACCACAATTCAACATATCCTGATATTTTTTTATGTTATTTTAATCTTCCTTAAGGTGCCAGTTCTTCATTTGTAGCAATATTACGCTGATTATTTATCTACCATCAATTTGAAATATGTAGCTCATTTTTTTCTTCCTTTATTCTTATAGGATCCTTTTGGTTGATATACCGGCTTCTCAAACGCTAATGCTATATTCTGTGCTTCTACTATCTCATCCGGATATCTGTATTTCACTTCGTTTCTTACGGGATATTTCAACTTTTTAGTATAACTATCTACCTTCGCTTGCTCAGTTAAGTGGCCCGCTGGAAAATCAGCTACCGCCAGGTCAAATTGCTTATTAAAATCTTTAACGCTTCCTGTTTGCTTCAATACATCAAAATTATGGCTTTTATCTTGGTTCGACATATTTAAATTTTCTGATGTTATCTTATCTGCAATTGATACTATCTCTGTAATATATGTGTTCAATTGGAAGTTTGTTTATATTTTTTTATTGCTTCCAGATATGTTTTCGTGTATCTATATGAGTATAATAATGCTGCGTCTGAATATGATAAATGTTATATGTAGGATCTACTACTCTAATTTAAACTTAACTAATGGATTAATAACTAAATAATTACTCTATATTTAGTTCTTAATTCTCCTAATCCCATTCTAGACCAAAGGGATAAATTACTCCTATTTATAATTCACTCATGTTACACCAATAATGGTCAATGGCTCTTGTACCACTTGCATATCGGTAATACTTATTTTGATAAAATCTCAAAATGGATATTATAAATGAAAGTGAATCACATTAAATTTATCGTGCGTGACAGAAGAGATCTACTCTATATGTGTATACATGTGTTCTATGAAAAACTTTTGTAAGGAAACTGGAGACCAATATGGTAATTACTTATATTCTGTATATTATATATACGGTTGTCCAAGGCCATTTTGATGGCCCACTTGTTAATTGCACAAAATTAGGTGCACAATTATATTTTGTAACAACGTATATGGAAAATTAACCCATGATTTAATTCTTGAAATTGAAAGAAAATTATCCAAGTTATTCAAAGAAAAGAAGAAGCTACTTGAAAAGGGAAAGAGAGCCAATAAAGGGGACATCGAAATGGACATACATATGAAAAAATAAACTAAATATGATTTTTTATATTAGACATTGTACATAAAATGCTGCGAATTAAGATCTTATTCTTGATTTCACCATCTTAACCTAAAACTAAGCTAAGAATTTGTCTATTACTGTAATCTTGCTGGTCTAATCAAATTACTGAGGTAAACTAATAGTTTTTTTTGTTCTTAAACCTTACAATGTTTACAATTAAATGCGATTAATGTAATTTAAGAATTTTTTGCAATATAATAATATGCTCATACTAAGAACTCGTAAGGTTGTTTAATATATCGCGATGAACTTTAATTAAAAAGTTAAGACAATTCAAGAATCCAGGCTCTATACTAACATAATATTTTGATAATTAAACATCCTCCTCATAATCTTTAAAAAATTAGAATTCGCCAATTCTTAAACTATGTTTAAAACATTGATATACAAATTAATATTAGATAACTATATCTTGAATCTCTGCCAGATCGATGATTTAGCAGTATAAGAACCAGATATATTCTATGAAAGGAATTTGGACCAATATAACAATTATCTCTACAGTATCTTTATATTATACTGGCCTTAGAGAACTTAGCTTAATTTTCTTTTCGTCTTCATCAACTACTTCAATTCAAATTAGTTTACAATTTTCTATTCTCTACTCTAGACCCATAATCTACTTATACTTCAACCTTTACTTTTCCACAACATGGATACAAAACCTATAGTTAGTTTTACTCTCAATACGTGCAAAACAGTTCGATTTGCTTACTTGAGAATCTTCAGTTCTTGAATCTCGTAAATGTGGTATTAAGCAATTTCAGATATATATATTACATTCCACCAAAACAAATACATATCTCAATTCGTCAATATCGGATTTCATACTTTTCTGAGTATTCCATTCATTCTCGGTGACAGAAAATGCAAAATCAATGATATACACTTTTCCGTCCTTTGCGCAAAGTATATTATCTGCCTTTATATCCCCATGTATAATTCCATGCTTGTGGATCACTTCCAACCGTTCCTTGGCCTTTTTATACAACTCAATGCTATTATCTAACGGTATGGTTTCTATATAAATAAACAAGTTGAAATACCCCTTAAGATAGTATCCATCAACGCGGACTTTCATGTATCCTCTCTTGTGGGCTATATAGCAGCTATTGAATTCCAGATCTTTCGATAATACCTGGTACATCCATCTTTCGTTATTATACGCCTTAAGACATAATTCTAATAACTCTTTCTTGCTGTATTTAAACATACCATGTTCGTTATTGGCCATTCGGGGGTCGTAGAACTTTGCAACAAGCTTTTCAGTATCGTCAACATGACGGAGCAAATACTTCTTCATGTAGCAGGCATCAATTGCAACAAGCTGTGAATTAGAAATATCACCATTCTGCATAGTTACATGGTCATTGGCTGTGAATTCGAGAAGAGATTCTTCTTCTAACTCTTCATCTTCATTAACAGACACTAATGTTGTCGAT